GCCCTACCCGTTTGAGCCACAGGTGCCACCCCAGGCTCTGTCTTAAAAAAAAACTGAAGGAACAGGCCAGGCGTGGTGGCTCATGCCTATAGGGAGGCCAAAGTGGGTAGACTTCCTGAGCTCACAGGTTTGAGAACAGCCTGAGCCAGACTGAGACTTCATCTTCAAAAACAGCCAGGTGTTGTGGCAGGTTCCTGTAGACCCAAATATTTGTAAGGCTGAGGCAATAGAATCACTTAAGCCCAGGAGTTTGAGGTTGTTGTGAGCTATGATGCCCTGGCCCTCTACCAAAGGTGACAAATTATAACTCTGTCTCATATAAAAAAAAGAAAAATGAAAAAACAAGGCACCATAAATAAGAGCTATAAGAAACAAATATCTCAAATCAAATCCACAAAAAAAAATTTTTTTTCACGAGACAGAGCCTTACTTTGTCACACTCGGTAGAGTGCTGTGGTGTCACAACTCGCAGCAACCTCCAGCTCTTGGGCTTAGGTGATTCTCTTGCCTCAGCCTCCTAAGTAGCTAGGACCACAGGGGACCACCACAACACCCGGCTACTTTTTTGTTGCAGTTTGGCCATGGTCCAGGTTTGAACCCACCACCCTCAGTATATGGGGCCAGCGCCCTACTCACTGAACCATAGGTGCCACCCAAATCCACAAAAATTTTAAGTACTGTTATTATCAGGTTTAGAAAAGAAAGAAGGTGGCTGGGCTGATGCCTCACACCTGTAACCCTAGCACTCTGAGAGGCTGAGGTGGGAAGACTTCTTGAGGCCAGGAGTTTGAGATCACCCTGAGCAAGAGCAAGACCTGATCTCTACAAAAAAAAGAAACACTTAGTTGGGCATGGTGGTGCTCACCTGTAGTTCCAGCTACTTGGAGGCTAAGGCAAGAGGATCATTGGGCCCAGAAGTTTGAGGCAGAAGTGAACTATGATGATGCCACTGCAGTCTAGCCTGAGGGACGAGTAAGACTATCTCCCAAAAAAAGGTACAAGAGGGAGAACGTGACAGGCAAACTTTTGGCTGAGAGTTTTTGTCAACCAATGACAGACATTAATCCACATATTCAGACCTGTCATGTTGGATCACACCTGGAATCCCAAAGCTTTGGGAAGCCGAGGCTGGTAGACCATGTGAGCTCAAGAGTTAGAGACCAGCTGGAGCAAGAGTGAGACCCTATAGCTACTAAAAATAGGAAAATTAGCCAGGCACTGTGGTGGGTGCCTGTAGTCCCAGCTACTTGAAAAGCTGAGGCAACAGGATCCCTTGAGCCCAAGAGACTAAAGTTGTTGTGAGCTATGATGACACCATGGCACTAAAACAGGAGAGAGAGTAAGATACTGTCTCAAACAAACAAACAAACCCCCAAAACCTAGGCCCATACCTGCAGTTCCAGCTACTTGGGAGGGTGAGGGAAGAGGATCACATGGAGTTGCTGTGACCTATGACACCATGGCATTCTACCCATTCAGAAATACAATATTGGGTGATGCCTGTGGCTCAGTGGGTAGGGCGCCAGCCCCATATACCAAGAGTGGCGGG